GACCGTCACAGATAGGCCTGGATTTCCAGCCAGGGAGCCTCTGTTATCAGAGAGCTCCCTGGGCTTGAGCAAACACATGTTGATTCTCACTATTGGCATCATTATCGCTCCCCTTGGAGGCCCTGTTTTCATTGCCCACTTTGCATGACAGTCAATAATCCTGGCTGGCAGAGGGTCCACCTATCTGGATGCACAGAAGGAAATGTGGGGGTCCTGGTCAGGGCAAAGCAGTCCTGAGAGCCTGAGCCCTGAAAGGAGGGTGCCCCTCTCTTAGACCCAGGTGGGCTGTGAAGATGCTGCTTGGCAAGCCTGGCTGAAGAAATTCAGGGTGTACACGAGGAACAGCGAGACCTCGGGCTGGCTGGGGCCTCCTTGGAGGTTCGCTGAGTGGATTATCGGTGGGAGGCTGATCTTTGTGAAACACACGGGCTGCTTCCACTGATTGCCTGGCTCTGGCCACCGGGCCCGCCACCACAGCGCTGTGACCCGTACCCTGGGCACACGCCAGGGTCCACAGATGCCATCAACCAGCCTCGTGGGAATGCGTTTGGGTTTATGGCCCTGCCGTTGTGCTTCGCCTGCTGTGAGGAGCAGAGAAGGAAAGGCAGGTCCCAGCTGGGTCTAGGAAGAGGGGACGGGTGGGAGTAGGGGAGAGGGAGCCCAGAGCTGGGGAGGGGGAGGGACAGCAGTTTTCTCTCCAGGGAGACCAGATGGTGGAGCGGGGCCACCTTGTGTCAGAGTCCTTGGCTCTGCCACTAGCTGAGTGACTGTGAGTTATTTGCTAAACCTCTCTGAGTTTCAGCTGCTACTTCTTAAAATCAGCTATTGATATATCACAGGGCTCTTTTTTAATTTACCAGAAGGTATGTGCGCTTGCTGGGGTGGGAGGAGAGAGAGAGAAAGGGAAAGAACGAACCCCCCATCCTCCTGGGGAATGGCCACGTCACAATCCCTTCTCCTCCATTTCTCCCTCCCATTGGGCCTGAGTGGACACACATGTGTGCATTTGCGTGTTTCTCAAGTCACAGGGTCTGGGACTCGAACCATGTAGTAGGCCATGTTGGATGTAGCCACCTTCACCACCATACACAGGCTAACCCAAAGATTATTCTTTTTTTAAAAAAGGTTTTTTTTTTTTTTTTTTTTCATAGTGCACATGTGCTTGCCAGAGAGAGACAAAGAGAGAAGTGAGAAATCACTCCTGGGGGATGGCCATGTTGCAATCCCTCCTCCTTGCAGGATTTTGGGCATGTATGCACATGCACCCACTGTGTTTTTCTTCTTTCCCCCTTTTTTTTTTTTTTTTTGTAAGAGAGATGTTGGTGATAGGGCAAATGAGCTCACTGGAGAGATGGAGAGAGACAGACAGAAAGCGAATCACCCCCAGGGCGGGATGGCCGCACCACAATTCCTTTTCCTCCATTCTCCTCTTGGGATCTTGGACACGCACGCACATGTGCCTGGCATGTGTTATAATTCTTCTTTCCCCCTTTTTTTTTTTTTTTTTGTAAGAGAGATGTTGGTGATAGGGCAAATGAGCTCACTGGAGAGATGGAGAGAGACAGACAGAAAGCGAATCACCCCCAGGGCGGGATGGCCGCACCACAATTCCTTTTCCTCCATTCTCCTCTTGGGATCTTGGACACGCACGCACATGTGCCTGGCATGTGTTATAAGCCACTGGGTCTGGGACTTGAACCAAGGTCGCTATGTGGGAGGCCAGTGACATAGCCATTACACCATCTGTTGGTTCCCTAGTGTGTTTTTCAAGGTACCAGGTCCAGAGATCAAGTTGCATTTGGCCATGTGGGAATCCAGTGTCTCAGCCACCATGCCACCTGTTGACCCCCAAAGGTTGTTCTTTTTTTCAGTTTTACTTTTGTATTTTGTTTTTGTACAAAGTATGCCCAATATTTCATAAAGTTTGTTTTGTAATTACATAATTTCCAAAGCAAAAATTACAAACAGGAGAGGCTCATCTCTCATATTTACAGTGATATTTGCAAAGCAGTAAATCCATTTTTATTGATTGTTGTAGGTGAAATAAAAAAATGACTATGACCGCTACAAACTAACATGAAAGGTTATTCTTAATAAACATAGCGTGCACATGAGAACTCTGTCTTGGCAAATAAGGGCTTCTCGTTTTCCTACTCTCTTCTATCCAACCCAGCATCTTTCCCATTGCCAGCGTTCTACCGTTTACTCTTTCTTCCTAGTGGAATTTGAGAAAGAAAAATACATGATCAGGCACCCCCATCCCCACCACCAAATAAAACAAGAACAGGGGAAAAAAACCTAGGGCCAAGCCAGACATCCACTGACTCCTCTTGGTGTTTTTCTTCAGACGGGCTCTTGCTGTTCTGTGCTTTTCCTGCCCCAGCCTCCTGGTTGGGACCACAGGCAGAGACCCCACTGCAGGGTCTGAGCCGGGGTCACACAGGGTTGCCCAGGCCAGCTTCCCCTAGTCACTGGGCCTAGTCACGCCACTTCACCTACTTTATGGTGGGCCAGAAATCGAACCCAGGCTGCCAGACTATGGAGCGAGGTACCCTCTGAGCCCACAGGAGCTGGTCCCCTCGCGTGTATCATGACAGTATACTGAGGAGTCACACATGGTAGTTTCCAGAGTCAGTGATGAGACACGTGAGGTCCCATAGCCTCCACTGCGTGAACTGGGGTGCAGCTCAGGGGCCCAGAGCCTCCCCACAAGGCAGAGGTGGTGGCTTTCAGAGGGTGAGATTAATGCTTGTGCCCTTGCCCTGGCCCCGAGTGTGACCTCTGTCATCAAAAGGGGGGTGCTTGGTGGCCCCGACAGCCCCGAGCAAGCCCTTATCCAGGTCCTTTCCATTGGCCTCCAGAAGCTACTTCATCAGTGACTTTGTGTGGGATGGGAAGGGGGAGGCGAGAGAAAGCCATATGAGAAGGAAAAGGGGAAGAAAGAGGGCCTTAAAAAAATCTTTCTTTTTAAAAAATTATTTTATTTAACTTTATTTGTTTGTTTATTTATTTAAATTTGACCAGAGAGGGACAGAGCGAGAGAGGGAGGGAAAGTAAGAAAGCCAGCTGCCAGGGATTATGAACCACAGTCGGCCATGTGGGAGTTCAGCACCCTTAACCACCATGCCACCTGCTGATCCCTTTTTTTTTCTGGAGAGGTTTTTTTTTTGCTATCAGGCGCGTGCGCTCGCCAGAAAGACAGAGAGAGACAGAGAGAGAAAGAGAGACAGAAAGCAAGAAATCACTCCCCAGAGGGATGGCCATGCCGCAATCCCTTCTCCTCTAGTCTCCTCTTGGGATCTTGGGCACGCACACACAAGTGTCCGGCGTGAGTTTAAGCCACCAGATCTAGTACTCGAACTATGGTTGACTATGTGGGAGTCCAGAGACATAGCCATTATGCTAACGGCTGGTCCCCCCCTTTTTAAAAATTTTATTTATTTATCCATTTATTTTAAGTTGACCAGAGGGGTTGATTGAGAGGGAGAGGCAAAGTGAGAAAGCAAGGCACCAGGTCCAGGACTTGAACTGTGGTCAGCCATGTGGGAGTGTCCAGTGCTTTAACCACTATGCCACCTACTGGTCTTAAAAAGTTATTTAATTTTTTTTTGAAAGAGAGAGAGATTTTTGCTACAGGGTACATGCAGTCACTGAAGAGACTCAGAGAGACAAAAGTGAATAATCACCCTCTGGAGTAATGGCCATGCCACAATCCATTCTCCTCTATGGGATTTTGGGCATGCATGCACATGCACACAGCGTGAGTTTCAAGTCTTTCAGTCTAGGCTCAAACCGCAGTCAACCACATGGGAGTCCAGCACCTTAATCATTGTGCCACCTGCTGGCGCCCAATCCCTTTTTTTTCCAAAAGAGGTTTCTCCATAGGGTGCATGTGCTTATTGGAGAGAGAGACAGAGACAGTGAGAGGGAAGGTGAGAAGTCACCCCCCAGGGGGCTGGCCATGCTTCAGTCCCTTCTCTTCTGTTCTCCTCTCAAGATTTGGGGCATGCACGCACATATGCCATGTTTTTTTAGCTGATAGATTGAGACTTGATCCGTGCAGTCAACCATGTGGGATCCAGCCGCCTTAACCACCACGCCACCAGCTGGCCTTCTTTCTTTCTTTCTTGCTCTTCCAGGCCTGTGCCCTGACCTTCCCACACTTGCTTGGCCTGACTGTGATCCAGCAGGTTCTGCAACGTTTCCTGTGGAAGCCCAGGTCTGAGCCTGCTACCTCTGTGTCACAAAGGCCTCCCCTAGGCGTCATGGATTTCTGGGAGTTTCAAAAGCTCTCCATCAGAGGGCTGGCCCTGTAGCCTGCTGGTTGGGAGGGAGTCAGATCCCACATGACTGACCATAGTTTGAACCCTGGCCCTGGTGACTTGAAAAACACTGGACCCATGCACATGCCTGCCCCAGATCCTGACAGGATGGAGAGATGGGGAAGGGAGTGTGGCGTGACCACGCCCCACTGGGTGCGCTGCGTCCCTCTCACTACTCTCTGTCTCTCTGGCAAGTGTACGTGCCCTTGGCAATAAAAGCAAACCCCCAAAACCCTTTAGATCGGGACACTTGTATACTAAGATGTTACACTCGCAGCAGCTGTCCCCAAAACTGTAGAGGATGTGGCCTTTTATCGATCACATGTGAAAACAGCTGAAAACAGCTCTAGTTTGAAAGTTGAGAAAACACAAATGCTTATTTTCTTCTGTTTTTCACATTCTTAATGCTTTAAAAGGAACATTTCTCCTGCTCTTTTGGACACATTCCAAGACAATAAACTGGGCTTTTCGAGAATTTGAAAGCTGCAATCAAATGGCTCCTTCATGCTCTCGGGGCCCTCACCAGGCCACTTGATTCTTTCTTAGGCGACTGGCTGGACCGTGACTCTTCACCTGGGGCAGTGGGATTAGAACGCGGTTTACATTTTCCGTTGTGCATGAGAGAACCGGGTGGAGGGCTGCGTCCACGTTAATGCTGCTTCTGTTTGACTTTTCCAGTTTTCCGGAGCTATGGGGACTTCCCATCCAGCATTCCTGGTCCTGGGCTGCCTCCTCACAGGTATGGGTCTCCCCATCCCCTTGGAGTTCGTGGCCCCAGGTGTGTCACTTTCTCAGTCCTGTGCTCTGGGAGTGTGTGGCCTGTCCTCTCTGTGCACACAGAGGAAGGGAGAGGAGAGAAATGGAAAGTTAGAGGGCCGTAGCCCTTCCGCCCTCTGTGGTATCGTGTCCCTTCCATCGCTAGACGGGTGCTGTGCAGTGACAGTCCTAGTCCGTGTGGAATGACACTGGCGTGGACGCTGAGTTGGTGATAACACTCCACGCTCGGCCAGTGCCCGCCTCCCTTTCCTAGGACATGGGCTACCGGTGGTGAGGGACCAGATAACATCAAGGAAATGGAGTAGAACATTTTCCCCAGGAACTCGTACTTGTCCTAAAAGATGCTTATGTTGCTTGAGACTCTCGGCGCCACCTCTGCCCTTCTCGTGGAAGCCGGGCGGTGGATGACGGAGTGACTCTGGGGCAATGTTGGCACCGCTTTCTCACCAGAAGGTGAATGGCCAGGCCTCTCGTTGGGGTACTTAGTGGACTTCCGTAGTTATCACCTGGGTAGTGACGTGGCGTAGACGTTCCCTGTGAAAACAATGCTCTCCCTGTCCAGGAGTTAACCCAGCCCGTTAGTGTCCTCAGGTGTTATCCTATGGACATAGTGGAATGGAGCAAGAGCAGAGAGTGAGCGGTTCTAAACTCCACCACGTATACCCTACCTGCAGGTGGAGGCGACTCACGCCAACAGCTGTCTACACGCACCCGTCCTGCCCGAGCGAGCTTTGCTTTGAGACTAGTGGAGCTCACGCATGACAAGTTGGATGGGAATCCCACCTCAGACTCCATGGAGATTAGACACCCTTAATTAGAAATAATGAAGCCACATTAAGCTCTTCTGCCAGTTTTGTAGACCAGGGAAGTCAGACTGAGATTTGAATGTTCACTCTTGGGCTTCATTACTTCTTTTTTCTTAAAATAATTATTTTATTTTATTTATTTATTCATTTTATTTTAATTTGAGCAGAGAGAGACAGACAGAGAGCGAGAGAGAGAGAGCGAGAGAGAGAGAGACAGGAAAAGTGAGAAAGGAAGCCACCAGGTCTGGAACTCCAACTGTGGTTAGCCATATGGGAGTGTCCAGCGCCTTAGCTACCACGCCACCTGCTGGTCTCCGGGCCTCATTACTTTATGTGAATGAAAGTTCGCATGGCCTGCTTCCGCCTCTGGCCGTCCTGAGAGCCGGTGACCAAGGGCTGGGAGGAAGGGGAGCTGCGTGGGGCCTGAGCACGAGTTAAGCTCTTCTGCCAGTTTTGTAGACCAGGGAAGTCAGACTGAGATTTGAATGTTCACTCTTGGGCTTCATTACTTCTTTTTTCTTAAAATAATTATTTTATTTTATTTATTTATTCATTTTATTTTAATTTGAGCAGAGAGAGACAGACAGAGAGAGAGAGAGAGAGAGAGCGAGAGAGAGAGAGACAGGAAAAGTGAGAAAGGAAGCCACCAGGTCTGGAACTCCAACTGTGGTTAGCCATATGGGAGTGTCCAGCGCCTTAGCTACCACGCCACCTGCTGGTCTCCGGGCTTCATTACTTTATGTGAATGAAAGTTCGCATGGCCTGCTTCCGCCTCTGGCCGTCCTGAGAGCCGGTGACCAAGGGCTGGGAGGAAGGGGAGCTGCGTGGGGCCTGAGCACGAGCCTGCTCTGTGCTTTGTCCAGCCCACCTCCCTTCCCCAGTTCTCGTCCTGCTCTGTAACTGCTGCAGGGAACATGGCAATCAAGCGCCTATGCGTGCTTGAGCCTGTGCCATTGTGGGATCGTTTATGGTCACACATGAGAGTCTGAAATATGGAATTGGAATCAGATGTCCTTGATCCATCTGAGTGTTTGGGGAGTGCCTGTGGGGAGGGGGTGTGGGGGGCCATTGAGGCCCTTGGAAGGTTCGCGGCTCTCAGCAGATGCAGTGGCTGCTGTCCCCGGGCCCTTTCATGAGCGTCCAGGCTAACGGCTTTTCACGCAGAAGCGGCCATTGTTCCCGGAAGCTGCTGCTGCTGCTGCTGCTTCTCTCTGCTCTGGCGTGCCCGTCCCCTGGCCGGGTCCCATTCAGAGCATGCTCGCTCCTGCAGGGCCTGGCCTCATCTCCTGCCAGCTCGCGCTGCCCTCCATCCTTCCCAACGAACACGAGAAGGTCGTGCAGCTGAATTCGTCCTTTTCTCTGACGTGCTTTGGGGAGAGCGAAGTGAGCTGGCGGTACCCCGTGTATGAAGAAGAGAGCCCCGACGTGGACATCAGAAACGAGGAAAACAACAGCGGCCTGTTCGTGAGCGTGCTGGAGGTGGGCCATGCCTTGGCAGCCCACACGGGGCTGTACACCTGCTACTACAACCACACGCAGACGGACGAGAATGAGCTGGAAGGCCGGGACATCTACATCCACGTGCCAGGTGAGCAGGCACCTGGGCCAGGCTGTGCTGGTCACCCTGTCTGTCCTGTTAGCTGCACTCTTGTTTTCTTTTCTTTTTAAAGAATTATTTGATTGAACTTTATTTATTTTAATTTTACCAGAGAGAAACAGAGTGAGAGAAAGAGAGAGAGAGAAGTGAGAAAACAAGCCTCCAGGTCCAGGACTCGAACTATGGTCAGTCATATGGGAGTCCAGCACCCTTAACCACCCCACCAACTACTGGCCCCATTAGTTGAGAAATTTAAAGGGGACTCCAACTGGAGTACCTCACTGAAAAAATAATCCCTTGAGCCAGCAGGTGTTGTGGTGGTTAAGGTGCTGGATCCCACATGGCTGCCCGCGGGGTTGGAATCCCAGTTCCAGTAGCTTGAAAACACGCCAGGCACGTGTGTGTGCGTGCCCAACATCCCTAGAGGAAAAGAGAGGAGTGGGCATTGTGGCATGGCCATCCCCTGGCGGGATGATTTCTCTGTCTCTCTCCATCAAATGAATGCACCCTAGGGCAAAAATCTAAAACACAACACAATGAAACCAAAGCAAACAAACCCCCTAAACTGGACGATTCTCACCATAGTCGCTGTCCTGGTGAAGGTGAAGCCCGGCTCTAGCAGAAGCGTGGTGGCCTGGATCTTCTCACCTCTCTGCCTCTTCTTTACACTTTTTTTTTTTTGAGAGTTTTTTTTTTGCTATAGGGCGCATGCGCTCGCCAGACAGACAGAGAGAGACATAGAGACAGAAAGCGAGAAATCACCCCCCAGGGGGGATGGTCACGCCGCAATCCCTTCTCCTCCATTCTTCTCTCTGGATCTTGGGCACGCACGCACACACGCCCGGCGTGAGTTTTAAGCCACCGGGTCCAGGACGCGAACTGTGGTCGACTACGTGGGAGTCCAGCGACATAGCCATTATGCTAACTGCTGGTTCCCTCTGCCTCTTCTTGTCAGAGTCTGGTCAGCTCCTCCTTTGGCCTCCATAACCACAGGCGTCCCCCGGGGTCTAGAACCCTCCTCACTTCTTTGTTTCCTTCTTATCCATATGAACCTTTCTTTTTGAAAAATAAAAACACTTTGTTTCAAGAAGGGTAGGTATTTGGAATGTCACCCCGACTTAATTCACACAGAAACGCTACACTTAGGTTCCTTCAGAGAAATCCTCTAATCTCGGGAGGGATTTGCCCCCGGCTGGGAGGGGAATGGTAGGAACGTGAATTTGTTAAAGAAGAGGACAAGAGTCCTAAGGTTTTGATCCAAGTAAGATTGCCGAGTGTTTCTGGTTTCCTCCCCTAGGGGCCGTACCCCACCTCCCACGTAGCCCCCCACACTGCAGTCCCACAGAGAACTCTTCACTGGGAATTATGGAGAGTGGGGGGGCCCTTTTTGCAGCTGATGGTTGAGTCTCACCATAGTCGTTGAAGTGGTTGGTTTTCTTTAGGAAATGGAACTCTCGGGCTCTGGGATGGTAAATGATATTTATTACTTGAGGGATTGCTTTTTAATAAGTGGATGTCAGTGCTACTCCTCAACAATGTTGACCATAGGGCATAAGAGTTTTAAAAAGCATGTTATAATTGAAACATGCTGGGTTTTTTTTTTGTTTTGTTCTGAACAGGGTTGCGCTTTATTACCTTACAGTCCAGTTGTGGGCTTTAGCTGTTACTTAAATTGTGATTTCGATTCCTGGGTAGCGTTTATACTTACCGTCAGTATTTTTTGCCAAGTACAAGCAGTTTGGCTCTTTTTTTTTTTTAAAGTTTCATTGTAGGGCATGTGCACTTGCCAGAGAGAGAGATGCACACAGAGAGGGACGGTGGGAAGCCACCCCCTGGCGAGGAGAGCCATGGCGCAGTGCCTACCCCTCCAGTCTCCTCTCAAGATTTTGGGTGCACACGCAGACACACCTGACACGATTTTCTAGCTGCCGGGTCCAAGACTCAGACTGTGTAGTTGGCCATGTAGGGTTCAGGGCCTGAAACTCCAGGCTGCCTGCTGGCCTAACGTGGAGTTTTTCTTTTTCTTTTTTTTTTTTTTTGAGAGGTTTTTGCTATAGGGCGCGTGTGCTCTCCAGACAGACAGAGACATAGAGACAGAAAGCGAGAAATCATCCCCCAGGGGGGATGGCCATGCCACAATCCCTTCTCCATTCTCCTCTCGGGATCTTGGGCACGCACGCACACGCGCCCGACGTGAGTTCTAAGCCACTGGGTCCGGGATGTGAACCGCGGTCGACTACGTGGGAGTCCAGCGACACAGCCATTATGCTAACTGCTGGTTACCGAGTTTTTCACACTCTATAAAATTACCTTTTAGCTGTTGTGTGGACCGATGTCTGTGGGGTGGCCTTTCGGGATATGGGTGTGAAGGTAAAATTCATACCTAAGAAGGATCATTCCAGTGGGGTAATTTTTCTGGGTGTACATGTGAGGTCAAATGAATTCCTAACATATTTTTCTTTCTTTCTTAACCGTAGACCCTGATGTAGCCTTCGTCCCCCTGGGAATGACCGATTATTTCGTTGTCGTGGAGGAGGACGAGTCTGTCATCATTCCTTGCCGCACGACAGACCCCGACACTGTCGTAACCCTGCGCAACAGTGACGGCGTGGTCCCTGCCTCCTATGACAGCAAGCAGGGCTTTAATGGCAGCTTCACAGACGGGCCCTACACCTGCGAGGCCACGGTCGAAGGGAAGACGTTCCAGACCATCCCGTTTAACGTTTATACCTTTCAAGGTACGCGTGCCCTCTTCCTTGGTTTTAGTTTATTTATTTCTCGTACGAGTGAGAGAGACAGAGGAGCAGACAGTACTCCCTAAAGGGTCTTGATGCCACGGTCCACCCCCAGCTGCAGCCGGCCTCAGACCATAGGCGCACTCGGGATTTGGGAGGAGGGGTCTCAGAAGATGGATCTGGACCTTTTTTTTTTTTTTTTTTTTTAAATATTTTTAATTTTATTTACTCATTTCATTTTGACCAGAGAGTCACACACACACACAGAGAAAGAGAGTGAGAAAGCAAGCCACCAGGTCCAGGACTTGAACCATGGTTGGCCATATGGGAATGTCCAGCGCCTTAACCACCACAACCACCACACCACCTGCTGGTCCCAGACCTGGACCTTTTTACATGGGTCGGCCTTGCAAAATGTTGAGTTTTATTGCTGTACTATGGGTTGACTCTTGTTTACCTTCTTCTCTTTCTTTCTTTTTTTTTTTTTTTTTTGGAGAGGTTTTAGCTGTAACCGTGCATGTGCTCACCCAAAAGACAAAGAGATAGAAAGTGAGAAATCACCCCCCAGAGAGGATGGCCACACCGCAATCCCTTCTTCTCTCGGGATCTTGGGCACGCACGCACATGCGCCCGGTGTGAGTTTAAGCCACTGGGTCAGGGACTCAAACCGCGGTCGACTACATGGGAGTCCCGCAACATAGCCATTGTGCCAACTGCTAGTCTCCTTCTTTTTTGTTGTTAAGGTTTTTGCCGTGGGGCACATGCAGTAGCTACAGGGAAATAGAGAAGGGGGATGTGAGAAATCCCTTCCCAGGGGGATGCCCACACTGTAATCCCTTCTCCATTCTGCTCCCAAGATTTTGGGCATGCACGCACACGTGCCCAGCATGATTTTCAAGCCACCAGGTCCAGGACTTGAACTAGGGTCAGCCATGTGGCATCCCAGCTGTCAGCACCACATCACCTGCTTGCACGGTCTTTCTTCTTTCAGTAAGGATAACTGGCAAACCTGGTGCGGCTGCCACAGTGCGGTCTGGTGCTGTGCTGCTGCCCCATAGGCCGAGGCCACGTCGCAGGCCTGGGTTCGATCCCCAGCCCATCCTGAAAAGCCCATGCAAAAGGGTGTGCCTGTAATTCTAGATATTCAGGCGACTGAGGCAGGAGGATCAGCAAGACTCTGCCCTTAAAATTAAGGCTGGCTTCACAGCGCAGCGTCATGTGCTGCTCAGGGAAGCTGGATCCCACATGGTGACTGGGACTCGGATCGCTGGCCTGGACAGTCTGAGAGAAGTCCAGCGTGTATGCGAGTGCCAGGGTCTGATGGGCTGGAGGGCTGGAGGAAGGAGTGTGGCGTGACCGGGCCCTGTGCGGGTGGCCGTCTCTCCCTCTCGCTCTCACTCTATCACGGATAAAGAAAGGAAGAGTAACAGGCAGATGCTTGGGGACCTGCGGCATTGCTTTCAAATCACCCTTCCTGGTCATGGAGATCGTGAATTCTGACTGGGGTATGCAGCGCCCCACCTACAGCGGGTGACCAGCAGGTGGCGTGGTGGTTAAGATTCTGGACCCTCACATGGCCTACTGCAAATCATGCCCGAGGTGTGATGTGCATGTGTGCACAGCAGAATGGAGGGATAGGGACTGTGGCATGGCCATCCCCCTGGGGTGTTTACTCACTTTTCCCCTCATTGATTCTCTCTCTCTCTGGCAAGCACACACACCCTATGGCAAAAAACTTAAAAAAAGTTACTAGGGACCAGTGGATGGTGTAATGGTTACTTCGCTGGACTTCCACATAGTTGACTGTGGTTTGAGTCCCGAACTTGGCGGTTAAAACTCAGGCAGGTCGTGTGTGCATGTTTGCCCAAAAATCCCAAGAGGAGAATGGAGGAGGAGAGATTGTGGTGTAGCCATCTCCCCTGTGGAGTGATTTCTCTCTTTCTGTCTCTCTGTTTCTCTGGTGAGCACATGTGCCCTATAGCAAAAATCTCTTTCTCTCTCTCTTTTTTTTGGAGAGGTTTTTGCTAAAGGGTGTGTGTGCTTGCTAGACAGACAGAGACAGAGACTGGTGTGAGTTTAAGCCACCCGATCCAGAACTTGAACCACGGTCGACTACATGGGAGTCGAGCGATCTAGCCCTTATGCTAACTGCTGGTCCCGTAAGAGAGAGATTTTTAGGGACCAACAGTTAGCGTAATGGCTATGTCGCTCGACTCCCATGTAGCCTGGTGGCTTAAACTCATGCCGGGCGCATGTGTGTGCGTGTCTAAGATCCCGAGAGAAGAATGGAGAAGAAGGGATTATGGCATGGCCATGCCCCTGGGGGGTGATTTCTTCCTTTCTGTCTCTCTGTCTCTCTCTGTCTTTCTGGCGAGCACAAGTGCCCTATAGCAAAAACCTCTCAAAAAAAATTACTAAAGGCTAAGGCTTAGTTACCCCATAAGATTTCACATTTCATTGTGGCTTCAAAATACTATAAGGCATTCTTTTCTTGCATAAGCCTCTTACTGTTTATTCACATTCCTGAGTACAGAGACCCTAAAAGCACACATACGCCCCAGGGGAGGGTGGGATGCCTTGTCAGCAGCCTGGAAGGGGCAGAGTCCGCACACTGGCTCTGGGAGGAGGTATGGCCGTGGCAGGAGTGTGGCCTGTGACTCTTGGTAAGGGCTCGTTTTGTGCTGGGCACTGCTAGGTTCTAGGACAGCGCTGAAAGAAGAAAAAAGAGTGTGGGGCAAGAGAAGAAGCGATGGAAGAGGTGCCCCGTGCCCAGAGCAGCGTCGGTCACTAAAGGCTGGTTCATTGGCTGAATAAGGCACCTCTACGGGCGACTGCAAGAGCCGCCAGCCGCCGCCAGCCGCCGCCAGCCCACACGCGCCGGAACGTGGTGCCCTGTGCAACTGGAGTTTATTTTTGCTATTGCCGTTGTTTTGCACTTATAACTACATGCCAAAGTGTCTATACCAGCTCAAAACCAGAGTGCGATTTTCCAAATTCTGTTTGGATCAAACTGATTTGCAAATTATTTTTCAGTTTTTTTTTTTAAGTTTTTACTAGAGGGCTTGTGTACTTTCTGGAGAGACAGAGAGAGAGAGAGAGAGAGAGAGAGAGAGGGAGAGAGAGAGAGGGAAAGTGAGAAATCTCCCCCCAGAGGGGATGGCCTTGCTGCGGTCCCCTCTTCTCTAGGGATTTGGGGCACGCATGCACACGTGCTTTTCAGGCCGCTGGCCCAGGACCCAGACTGTGCAGTCGACCGTGTGGGACCCAGCTGCCTCCTCCACCGAGCCACCAGCTGGCCCTTCAGGGTGTGCTTAAGCAAAAAACCAAACTCCTTCTTAGATTCTAACTGTACTATGGACATTTAGGTTGTATTTGTCTTTTTTTTTTTTATAGCAACAGCAAAACTGGATCTAGAAATGGAAGTTCTTAAAACTGTGTACAAGTCAGGCGAAACGATTGTCCTCACCTGCGCTGTCTTTAACAACGAGGTGGTTGACCTGCAGTGGATTTACCCCGGGAAAGTGGTAGGTACCTCACGGCACAGAGCCCTGCGGGGAACAAGCCGGGATCGAAGGACCCACACGAGCCAGTGTCTGTCTGTCACTGACACAGCACGTCCTGGAGCTTCTCAAGGCCCCGCCTCCACCTCTGCACTACGCAGACTGTCCCAGACCGCGCTAAAGCTCCTTGATCAATGAGAGGGCCCGAGGTGACAGTAGCCGGCCCAGGACGGCCCAGGACCGTCAGAATGCACGTGTCACATGGTCGAGCGTTCTTTTCCAGAAGCCAGGAAGTGATAGGAAGAGTCTGTAGCTCCACGATGTTGGTATAATTAGAAAAGCCACACACTCCCTGATAGAGACATCCCTAATTGCCGAGACAGCCGCTCAACCTCCTGGTCTTGGCTCCCAGGCCTTTGGGCTCTGAGGCATCTGAGGGTGTGGGTTCCCTGCCCCCTTCCTTCCCTGTGCTGTTGGCACCAGGGCACGTACCTTCCTGCTCGGCCCCCTGCTGCCTGGTCTTCCCTGGCTGGCTGCCCTTCAGTGAGCAGGCATGACCGTCATCACTCGGCAGGGTGTAGCGATGTTTGCTAAATCCTAAACCCTGTGTTAGACGCTGGTCTGTGCCCAGTAGAGGGAGAGGCGAGGGGCAGAGGTGGGAGAAGGGGCATCACCACGCCACCCCCTGATCCTCCCTGGGGGTTTCCACATAGGGTCTCCAAATTTGACTCCAAAATTTACAATCCAACTTTTTTTCCCCCCCTGGCCAGAGGGCACATGCACTTGGCAGAGAGAGGCAGAGAAGGACAGAGAGAGGGGGAAAGCACCCCGCTGGGGCGCATGCCCATGCTGAAACCTGTGTGCTCTGCCTCGCGGTTCTTTCGGGAGTTCGGGCACATGTGCACACATGCCCAGAATATTTTTTTTTTTTTTAAAAGAGACATTTTTGCTATAGGGCACATGTGCTTGACAGAGACAAAGAGACAGAAAGCGAGAAATCACCCCCGGGGCAGGGGATGGCCACACGCACGTTATGCCCCACCTGCAGTCTCTTCTCCTCAGGATTTTGGGCACGCATGCACTTGCACACATGCCCAGCGTGAGTTTTAAGCCACCAGGTCTGGGACTTGAAATGCGGTTGACGATGTGGGAGTCCCATGACGTAACCACTACGCCATTTGCTGGTCCCCAACCCAGACTACTTTTCAAGCCTCCAGGTGGGGGATTTGAAGCATGCAGTCAGCCACGTGGGATCTGGCTCACGTGGGATCTGGCTCACTTAACAACTAGGCCCCGGGTTGGCCCCTAGTGTTTTATAAAATACATTCATGTTTGGGGCCAGCACGTGGTGTGGTAGTTAAGGCACTGGATCCCATGTGGCCGACCACAGTTTGAATCTTGGACCCGGTGGCTTGAAAATCACACTGGGTGCGTGTGAGTGCACGCCCAAGTTCCTAGGAGGAGAATGGAGGTAGAGGGATGGCAATGAGGCCATGCCCCCTTGGGAGGTGATTTCTCACTTCTCTGCTCTGTTCCTATCTCTCTCTGGTTAATCCATGTGCCCTATGGCAAAAATCTGAAGAAGAAGAAGAGGAAAAAAAACAACTGAAAAAGAAAAATAAAAAAAGGCATTTTTTCCTTGATTATAAAAGTAATGCAAGTTTGTAGTCAACACTTTGTAAAATGAAAAGAAACAGGAAAAGATACTTCTCAAAGCATCACTAGCATTATTTTAGGGAACTAAATATTTTAAATATATATCTTTTTAATTGCCAGAGGGCACTGTCCAGGAGAGATAGAGAGGAGAAGGCACCCCTGCATTGGGCTGTAGTCAAACTACAATCCCTTCTCCAGGCCTGGCATATTTTTGAAGCTGTAAAGACCAGGATTTGAACCTTCAGGTTGATCATGTGGCATCTGGCTCCTTTAACCCTAGGCCACAGGGCTATGGGGCCGGTCCAGCTTAAATATTTCTTTTTTAAAATTAAACTTTCTTTTTTAGAGCAGTGTTAGGTTCACAGTGAAATCGAGTGGAAGACACAGACATTTCCCACACAGTCCCTGTCCTGTCCACCCACAGCCCCTCCTGTGATCGGCTCCCCACTGTGGTACGTTCACTATGACGGATGAATCCTCGCCGACACATCCTCATTCCCCAGTGCACCATCTTTTTCAAAAGGAATTCTTTTATTTAATTTTATTCATCGTCATTAGTTAAAAATTTTGACCATTGAGAGACAGAGCAAGAGAGAGAGAGAAGAAAAGTGAGAAGGCACGCCGCCAGGTCCAAGACTCGAACTGCGATCAGCCATGTGGGAGTCCAGCGCCTTAGCCATCACACCCCCTGCCAGCCCCAGTGCACGGCCTGCCTAAGGGGTCACCTAAGGCCTGCTTTCTCAGAGCCCTTGTTCTCCCCTTCCGCTGTAGAAAGGCAGAGGCAGCATTCTGCTGGAGGAAATCAAAGTCCCATTCATCAAATTGCTGTACACACTGAGGATCCCCGAGGCCACCGTGAAAGACAGTGGCGACTACGAGTGTGCTGCCCGACACGCGACCAGGGACGTCAAAGAGATGAAGAAAGTCACCATCGCTGTTCACGGTACATTCCGCTCTCTAACCAGTCAGCCGGTCACGCTGCCCGGGACCCCTATGCGGTAACCACTATTTAATGGAAACTCTTCTCCGTGCAGAGAAAGGCTTCATTGAAATCAAACCCACCTTCAGCCAGCTGGAAGCTGTCAACCTGCACGAGGTCAAGCACTTCGTGGTGGACGTGTGGGCCTACCCCTCTCCCAGGATATCCTGGCTGAAGGACAACCTGACTCTGATTGAAAATCTCACCGAGATCACCACTGACGTGGAGAAGATCCAGGAAATAAGGTAAGGAAACACTTCCTAGGGGTGCCATTTTAAGTATCTGTCCCTAGATGGACTGAGATTTAGTGCGCATGTTACAGCTCCAAACCTAAGGCAAGGCAGGAAGTGTAGGAATCTGAGTGAGTTACAACATTGCGATGTGAGCATAGTGTGCCGATTGTGCTTTTCCTTCCTTCCTTCCTTTTTTTTTTTTAAAGAGAGAGACGTGCTATAGGGTGTATGTGCTTGCCAGAGAGACAGAGACAGAGACAGAAGCAAGAAATCACCCCCCAGTGGGGACAGTTATGCCGCAGTCCCTTCTCCTCCATTTTCCTCTTGGGATCTTGGACACACATGCACACGCACCTGGTGTCAGTTTGAAGCCACCGGATCTGGGACTCGAACTGTGGTCGACTGCATGAAAGTCCAGCGACATAACCATTAAGCCATCTGCTGGTCCCATGCTGACATGTTTTTTAACAATAAAAAATGAAGAAAGGACTGAAACAATTCCCTTCTCCCGATGAAAGATTACTGAGTCCAGCCAGTGGTGGAGAAGAGAAAGGAAAACTGAATTCATTTGACTGACTGTATTCCTCAGTGCTCATTATCCATAGTGCAAGGAGACGTGTATGTTAAATTTACTTGCAAGATGATGACCACATAAACTTAAAGGAAACAAAGCTCATTGGCTTAATTTGCAACACATTTGCCCAAGCTGAGGCCTCCACAGGAAAAAAGAGCAGAGCCCAGTTAATGTGGGCCAGGGGAGAGATGTACACTGAGTCCCTTCGGGTGCCTGCCCTTTGGTGAGAATGGTATGGATAGATTGTTCAACAACCTATCGTCAAGTCTCTTCAACTCGTGGAGTTTGGAGGCAATCACTGCTCAGCCCCCATTTCCTCCTCTATAATGCAGGGTTAATCACATTCCATGTCCTGGCTACGACTTCTGCCTATCTCTTTTCTTCTTACATATGAGCAAACAGGATTAGTTTTTTTGTTTGTTTGTTTGGTTTTTTTTGAGAGGATTTTTGCTATAGGGCGTGTGCGCTCGCCAGACAGAGAGAGAGAGACAGAAATCACCCCCCAGGGGGGATGGCCACGCCGCAATCCCTTCTCTTCCATTCTCCTCTTGGTATCGCGGGCACGCATGCACATGCGCCTGGCATGAGTTTAAGCCACCGGGTCCGGGACGCAAACCGCGGTCGACTACGTGAGAGTCCAGCAACATAGCCGTTACGCTAACTGCTGGTCCCTATTTTTAGAGAAATTTTTGCTATAGGGCACATGAGCTCACCAGAGAGAGAGAGAACAGAGAGAGACAGAAGGCGAGAAATCACCCCCCCACCCCCCAGAGGGGATGGCCACACTGCTGTCCCTTCTCTTCCATTCTCCTCTCGAGATCTTGGTCACACACGCACATCGCCTGGTGGAGTTTGAAGCTGCCGGACCCAGGATGCAAACCATGATCAGTCATGTGGGAGTCCAGCAACGTAACCACTACGCTGTCTGCTGGTCCCAAGCTCTCTTTTGGTTTTAGTCTATAATTCGAATCCAAACATCGGAAGGTACATCTTGAAGTCCTCAGCTAATTTAAACTTACACCCTTGTTAGAATCTTCTAGGGGGCGAAAGTCAGTCCATGTTTCAAGTTATCAGAAAAGGGGAGAACAGAGCCTTTATCTTCATTTCCCTTCACCTCTGAGTTTGCCTTCTTCTTTCTGAACTACATCCCATGTGCAATGGAGAAGCACCTAGAAGGATGACTGAGAAAAGGGAATTTTACGTCCTCTACAGAACAGTGATAGAAAAAGAACTAACGCTGAATCTGGAAGGCTTTCCAATGACAAGAAAGGAGGTGCCCAGTGGGGTGGGCAGCTTTCCACGGCTGCAAGGCCAGAGAGCAGAGGAACCCTGGCACAGCGAGCGTGAGCTGTCTGCTTGCTGTAGTCAATAGCAGTGCAAGACAGGCTGGCCAGCTGACTGATTCCGCCAGTTACAGTGATTCAAGGACCCTTCAGCACATCGTTTTAAAATTCCCTCTATGGGCCAGGGAATATAAGGATGAGCATGGTGGGTAGGGGTACCTGGGTTCATGGAGGTTAAAGCTAGGGGACCCATTGGCTTTCTTGGCTGAAGAAGGGTAGACGAGGAATGACAGAAGATCGCTGGGTAACCATCAGTAGGTTGGCTAAAGAAAGTCTCCGAGGAAATCCGGTCATGCAGCATATCCAATATGGCGCAGCAGAATACAACCCAGCCCAATGTGCTCTCGCCGCAGGCGCTGGGGCCTCAGTGTTTGTAGAGGGCTTTGGAGTCTGTGGAACACGTCTGGACGTCCAGTCTCATTTAGTTAATCCTCGAAAGGACTCTGCTCCTCCAGGCAGTCTCCTATTTTATACTTAAGGAAACTGAGGAGGAGAATGTCGGCATTGTCTTGAGTTTTCTCACTCCATGACTGCTGCTCTCTTTTCCATTCTGGTTGATTTTTCATGCTTTGATGTTTCATAAGAACAATCAGGGACCAACAGTTGGTATAATGGCTATGTCGCTGGACTCCCATGTAGTCGACCGTGGTTCAAGTCCCGGACCTGGTGGCTTAAACTCACGCCGGGCACGTGTGCGTGCGTGCCCAAGATCCTGAGAGGAGAATGGAGAAGGGATTGCAGCATGGCCATCCTCCCTGGGGTTGATTTCTCGCTTTCTATCTCTCTGTCTCTCTCTGTCTGTCTGGCGAGCTCACGTGCCCTATAGCAAAAACCTCTCCAAAAAAAAGAACAATCAGATACTATATTTATGCAATGCACGCACATGAGTGCACACACACGCGTGTGGCCAAATAGCATTTATAATACATATAGAAATCTTTTGGGAGACTTTTTTTAAATAAAGTATGAAGAGGTTTCTTATTTCTAACTTATTATTTTTGAATAGACCAAGAAAGCCCAGGCTTCATTGATGTATATTTTATACATTTTACATTTTTTACGCTAAGTCTTTGAAATCGAATGTGTATTTTATACCTATAGGACCTCTTTCTTTTTTAAATTTACTTATTTATTCTTCCATGAGCAAGAGAGACAGAGAGACAGGGGCCCCCAGCAGGGCCCTCGTGAAATCATCCACCCCATCTTGGGCTCATGGGCGTGTGTTTTGCATACCCAGGGAGGCCTCTGGACATGAACCTGGAGGCCTCCCATATGGGTCCACCTCATAGAGCATTGCGTTTTTCTGCGGAACCGCCACCTGGCCCCTCCTATGCTTTAAAAGCAATCAGTCAAACATAAAAGAGGGTTATTTGTTTTATTGGTTTTTTTTTTTTTTTAGATTTTTACCATAGAGTGAGAGATAGCCAGAGAGAGAGAAAGTGAGAAATCGCCTTTTCAGGGGGACGGCACACTGCAATCCTTTCTCCTCCATTCTCCCATCAGGATTTTGGGCGCACACACACACACACACACACACACACACACACACACACACACTCTCCTGGCATGATCTTCAAGCTGCCAGGTCTGGAACTCGAACCATAGTCAGCCATGTGGGGGTCCAGCACCTTAACCACCACACTACCTGCTGGCCCCAAAGAGGGTGACTTATAAAGAAGCCTCACGCTATCTGGTCCATAGTTAATCCTCCTCTTCCCACAGGGAAACACTTTAATAGTTTTATTAGGTTCTTGTGAAACGTTTCAGAGTTTCTTTTTGTTCTTTCCTGTTTTTTTTTTTTTTTTTTTTTTTTAAAGCTTATTTACTTATTTCTTCCATGAGTGAGAGAACGATAGAGACAGTGCCTCTAGTAGGGTCTAAATGTCACAATTTATCCTCAGCCTCAGCCAGTCCAGATCAGGGCACATGTGGGCCTGGCGTGTGCAAGGAGATTTCAGGGCACAAACCAAGAACCTTCCAGTGTGGGTCAGCCTGGCAGAGCGTGGTACTGGGTCACTACCCAGGCCCCTTTCCAGAATTTCTAGAAGCAAATCCAAGCAAGGAGGAATGTTGTATTTTGAAGGTATCTCCTTACTGACACATAGAAAGTGTCCTCATTTCTCGAATAGTGTTCCGCTGAGCTATGTGATAGATATTTAGGAGAAGTAGTATTTTTTTTTTTAAGGTGAAAATCAAGAGTTTTTCTTTTTCTCTTTTAATTTTTATTATTAAGAGATTTTTGCTATAAGGGCACGTGTGCTTGCTGGAGAGAGACGGAAAGAAAGAAATCACCCCCCAGGGGGATGGCCATGCTGCAATCCCTTCTCCTCCATTCTCCTATTAGGATCTTAGGCACACACAGACACACATGGTGGGAGTTTTAAGCTGCTGGATCTGGGACTTGACCTGCGGTCAGCTATTTGAGAATTAAGTGATGTAACCATTACGCTATCTGCTGGGCTCAAGAGTTTTTGTTTTTTATTTTATTTGAAAAAAAAAAATTGCCAGAGGCATCATGTGCTCACCAGAGAGCAAAGGAGAGACTGAGAGAAAGAGAAAGAGAAAGAGAAGCCCGCCCTTGGAGGATCGTCACACCAAAGTCCCTTCTCCATTTCTTCCTCCTTTGGGGATTTTGGGCATGCACGCACACATACCTGGCATTTTTCAGACTGCTGGGTCTGGGACTTGAACTGCACAGTTAGCCATGTGGGATCCAGCTGCCTTAACCACCCAGCCATCGGCTGGCCTATGTTTTTATTTTCTCAAAGAAAAGCTGGTAGTCTGTGCCTGTTCTCCTTCAGAAGTCAGCCTCCCAGCACTGAGGGCTCGTAGGGCTGCTAAGCCACAGCTCATCTCGAAACGTCTGATTTTCGTTCGTGTTTATGATTCAGACCGTCAACATGTGAAAGTGTATTGAGAATTCCAGAAGAGATGATACCCACCAGAAGAAAGACGTTTTTACTTTTGACAAAAGTAAAATTAAAATGGAAGACTGTAACTGCTTATGCGCGTGGACTTTGTCTAGCTGCTGTTCATTGAAACGAAGTCCTTTTCTTTTAAGGTATCAAAGCAAACTCAAGCTGATCCGTGCAAAGGAGGAAGACAGTGGGCATTACACCATCGTGGTGCAGAATGAAGACGACGTGAAGAGCTACACTTTCCAACTCCTGACCCAGGGTACGTGAGGGCTGTGTGCGGCTCTTGCTGCTTAGGGAATGAGTGGGTGTGTGTCTCCCAAGGAGGAAAAGGGACACCTGAGGGGAGAAGCAGAGACTCTAGAGAAGTCACATGTCAGAGGGATCTTAGTCGGACTTTTGACTTGGGTGGTTTTGAGGGGTTTGGGTTACTCTGGGCCAGTCTTGGCGTTCCCAGAGGCCAGCAGCTTTCTTAGTCCCTGCTTCTAATATGGCACCTCTGATTTTGAGACCATGATGCTTTTCGGTCCCAAGGCCCTGTTTAGCTTCCCTTGCACACACTGCAAGGGACAGTTCCTACCAGCATGGGGCACCCTAGTCTGTTTGCATTTCAAATTTAGCACCTATTGTCTGAGTCCTTGCCAGTGCCTGGTCCTGGGTTAGGTGGGCTTGTTTGATCCTTATGGTAAATCAATGACATAGGTACTAGCATATTTCTATTTTATTTGGCCACTGATGAGGAAAAGAATCTTTAAAACCTAATAATATTGGGGCCAGCAAGTGGTGTGGTGGTTAAGGCACTGGACTCCCACATGGCTAACCAAGTTCGAGTCCTGAATCTGGCAGCTTTCTTTCTCATTTTCCCTTGCTCTCTCTCTGGTCAAATTAAAATAATAATGATAAATAAAATAAGAAATAATTATTAAAAGTAAGAATAATATCTCACTTCAATAAATGCTGTTTTCCATTATACTTTCGGTGAACCCATGTGTTGAATCCAAAGCTGTAATATAATTTTAAGAGTCTTTTTGCCTTTCAAGCCAAATAGCCACAGGGATTGTTCACTTTCCTCACTCTGGGTTCACAGCATCGCAGACACAAATGCCAAAATCCCGAAACTGAAAATGCTCTTAGCCAAGTGGGTCTGGTAAACAGGAGTTCTCTCACACGGCTGATTCAGCCCCCTCCAGGGTGGCTCCCGCGCCCCGCGGGCACTTTGCAGTCCCCACGCGCTCTGGGACACGATTCAGGTGTGACTTCTTTCTGTTCCTGCAGTTCCCGCCTCCATTCTGGACGTGGTTGACGACCACCACGGCTCTACCGGGGGACAGACGGTGACGTGCATGGCCGAAGGGACTCCTCTCCCTGAAATCGAGTGGATGGTTTGCAAGGATATTAAGAAGTATGGAAACCAGATGTTCCTTATTCTTTTGTGGTCAGAATGTTTCCCCCGACACAGAGGACCTCAAATGCATTTGATTTACTTTACTGCCTCCCCCCAGTTTTTTTTTTTTTTTTTTTGGTATTTGCGATTTGTATTTGTCCTAAGGGTCATGTTACTTACAAACTATAAGCAAGGGTTCTGAAGATGGACCCAGCCAGCCTGAGGGTGTGTGTGTGTGTGTGTGTGTGGTGTGTGTGTGCGTGTGCGTGTGGTGTGTGTGGTATGTGTGCGTGGTGTGCGTGTGTGTGTGGGTGTGTGTGGGTGTGATCTTGAAAAGCTGTAAGGAGATCTATCGCTCCACGGCTGTCATCAGATCCTCCAAGGGTCTCTGATCTGAAAACTCAGATAAATATTAAGAACCACTTTCCAGGAAGGATTTTGTTTTCGCCTCTACAATCCCTTTTCCTCCATTCCCCTCTTGGGATTTTGGGTATGCATGCACATGCACCTGGCATGATTTTCAAGCTGCTGGGTCCAAGACTCGAACCACACAGCCAGCCATGTGGTAGCCAGTGCCTTAACCACCATGCCACCTGCTGGCCCCACCTAAGGATTTTTACTCTCCTGGCTCACATTTGGTATTTGGTAACTTTGGTGGCTAAGCATGTGGACTTAAATGCAAATCCTGCCTGAGTGAACACTCACTTTCACTCCCCACACGTTTCAGGGGAGTTAACTCACCAGTTCCTCCTTCCTCCCTACCTCCTCAAAACTTCTTAACTGGGCACGTGAGCTTTGTGTTCACACTTACTTTCTCTCGTGGCTGGCTCCAGGCTGTGTTCTGAAGCCTGGACCACCTCTTCCTAAAGGTGGAGACTCCTTGTCTTGCTCCTCCCTAGGGTTGGAGAGTACTGGTCCTCCTCACTCCTAGGGTTCAGGATGGCTCAGGTGCTGACTGATCCTGCAATCTAGGGTTTCCTCTTCCTCCTCCTTCTCCTTCTTTTTTAACAGCAGTGTATTTTAAAAATTATTATTTTGTTTCATTTTATTATTATTTCAAATTTTGCTATAGGGCACATGTACTCACCAGAGCGAGACAGACAGAGAGAAAGAGAGAAGGGGAAAGTGAGAAAGCAAGCCACGAGGTCTGGGACTTGAACCACGGTCGGTCATGTGGGAGTCCAGGGCCTTCACTGCGCTGCCACCTGCTGGCCCCTGGGATCTAGGTCTTATAACTTGGTCCATAGGAAGGTTCCAAACCCAGTGATACCTGAGGGGCTCTTCCCAGTATGGGTGGTGAGAAGGGAGGCCGCCAGGCCTTTCTGAAGGAAGAGGTAGGAACTGGGTTGGTTAAACATATTTGCAGTGGAACTGCTCAGTGTGCTCATAGGCCCACAATTTGAGATGGGTCACGTTCAGTTACCCAGATGCAGAGTTTGCCTCCTGGAGCAGGTGCAGATGCTTAGTGTCACTTCACACGTGAATGAGCAAGTCGGCCTGGGGCGGTCCAGTGTAGACGAGGTCAGGCTGCTCGCCGCCCTGGTGTGTCTCCGCGGCTCCACTCCTCTCCAGGACGCCCACGACTGGCTCTTTGTCTGTGCCCCTTGCCTTTCCAGATGTAATAACGAAACTTCCTGGACAGTTTTGGCCAACAATGCCTCCAACGTCCTCATGGAGCTCCACCCCCAAGACAGGAGTACCGTGGAGGGCCGAGTGACGTTCCTCAAAGTGGAGGAGACCGTTGCAGTGCGGTGCCTGGCCAAGAACCCTCTTGGAGCTGAGAACCGAGAGCTAAAGCTGGTGGCGCCTGGTGAGTTGCTTAACAGCCAGGATAGCTCTTAAATCGCAGCTGAGCCCTGTCCCCTCAGACGGAATGTTCAATCCCAGACAGGGTCCTACGGACGAAGTTCCGAGGCAGAGTCGGCTGTGAATGCTCTGTGGGCCTTCTTGGGGCAGCTGGGTTTTCTTTCAGATTCATATACAGAAAGACATCTTGCAGAGGCCCCTCCGAATTATGCTTGTCTGATGATAATATAGCTACTTGGTTTTCTTAGACTGTGTATCGGGGTAGGGGATGGAGAAGGGTCGTCCGTCTCACTGTTCCTGACAATAGCTGAGACAGGTTGAATTATTTATTTATTTATTTATTTATTTATTTATGGAGAGATTTTCACTATAGGGCGCGTGCGGTCGCCAGACAGAGAGAGACAGAGAGACAGAAAGTGAGAAATCACCCCCCAGGGGGGATGGTCACGCCACAGTCCCTTTTCCTCCATTCTCCTCTCAGGATCTTGGGCACGCACGCACATGCGCCTGGCGTGAGTTTTAAGCCGTCGGGTCTGGGACGCGAACGTGGGAGTCCAGCGACATAGCCATTACGCTAACTGCTGGTTCCCAAATTATTATTTTTTAAATAATTATTTATTTAACTTTGTTGATAATTTTAAAATTATTTTTAACTTGCTACAGAGCACATGTACTCACAGGGGGTGGGGGTGTGTGAAAAGAGAGAAAGTGAGAAAGTAAGCCACCAGGCCCGGGACTTGAACCACAGTAGGTCATGTGGGAATCCAGTGCTTTAACCACCACGCCACCTACTGGCCCCGAGACAGGTTGAATTCTTAAGGGGAAAAGAAAATGTAAAGCCAAAAGCACTTAGTGAAATGCAGCCCTTCAAAATAAGCTTTATTGATTCATTTATTTTCTAAATTTTGCTAAAGAGTCTGTGCACCCTGCAGAGACAAAGACAAAGCGCTCCCATGAGGAATGGACACGCCATGATCCCTTCTCCATTTCTCTGCCTTACCGGGATTTTAGACAGGCACGCACACGCACCTGGCATATTTCTCAAGCTCCTGGGTCTGGGACTCAAGTCCACAGGCCCAGCCAAGTGGGATCTGGCTGCCTTAACCCTTAGTCCATGAAGCTGGCCCTATTTTTAAAGCTTATTTATTTAGTCCATAAGTGAAAGAGACTGAGAGACAGAACAGAGACACAGCACCCCGATAGGTTCTTTTTTTTTTTTTTTGGAGAGGTTTTTTACCATAGGGCGCGTGCGCTTGCCAGAAAGATGGAGAGAGACAGAGAGACAGAAAGCGAGAAATCACCCCCTGGGTGGATGGCCATGCCACAATCCCTTCTCCTCCATTCTCCTCTTGGGATCTTGGGCACGCACACACATGCGCCTGGCCGGAGTTTAAGCCATCGAGTCTAGGACTCGAACCGCGGTCGGCTACATGGGAGTCCAGCGACATAGCCATTACGCCAACTGCTCGTCCCCCCTGGCTGTTTCTTGAGCTGTCCGCAGCCTCAGCCAGCCTGGACTGCAGGCACACAAAGGCCCAGCATGTTCAGGGAGGTCTCTGTGTACCAAGTGGCGCCCTTCCCACGTGGGCCTGCCCTGCAGAATGTCAGGTCTTACCACTGCACCACCATCTGGTGCCCCAGGTAAGCTTACAAGGTAGAGGTTCCTGCACTTACTGCAGTCGCTCTCAATCTCATTTACCAGTCTCTGTCATTCCTGTACAAATTCTCTAGATCTCATTGACCGGTCTCTGTCATTCCTGTACAAATTCTCTAGAAAAGTTACTGTCCGAGCGGCTTTGAGACAGTGTGAGTTCTCCAGATCGAATTCTGTCGCTTTCTCTTCCAAGGGCGAGTTGGTGGTTTCCTGGGTGCAGATGTTGGGGAGATGGTACTGCCTAGCCCTGATGTGAGCCAGGCAGCCCCCACTCTTCCCCACTAGCAGTGGGAGATTCCTGGCCCAGTCACAGCTCTGCCACGCTCCTGCCCCGCGCGTGGCCCTGAGGACGTTCTCTGCCATGGCTCTCTGTGTCCCCTAGCCCTGCGTTCTGAGCTCACGGTGGCGGCCGCGGTCCTGGTGCTGTTGGTGATTGTGATCATCTCCCTCATTGTCCTGGTTGTCATTTGGAAACAGGTATATGTCTTTTCTTTTCTTTCTTCTTTTTCTTTTTCTTTTTTAGAGGTTTTTGTCATAGAGCGTGTACGCTTGCTGGAGAGAGACAGAGACAGAGAGAGGGAAACTGAGACATCACCACCTGGGGGGTTGGCCACACCACAATCCCTTCTTCTCCATTTTCCACTGGGGATTTTGGGCATGCATGCACACTCACCAGATGTAACTTCTAAACCTCTGGGTCTGGGGCTTGACCTGTGATTGGCCATGTGGGAATCCAGCAGCTTCACCACCATGCCACCTGCTGGCCCCAGGTTGATGTTTTTTCAAAGAACTGAAAAAATCAGTAAGAACAAAAATAGCAACCTGGTCCAATGCTTGGCACAGAGGAGCTCAGGGACTAGAGGACGAGTGGTCATTGTTGGGCCCTGCTGTGTCCAGCAGCGTGGCTGCTGCGGTGAGCTGGGGGCACTGGGATTTCTCTGGGAGCTCACCAGCATTCCTGTCCTGGTCATTTGTAGAAACCGAGGTATGAGATTCGCTGGCGGGTCATTGAGTCAATCAGCCCCGATGGACATGAATATATTTATGTGGACCCGATGCAGCTGCCGGATGACTCC